GCTCGTTTACCGGGGTAGGCTGTTAGTTATTTTAGTTTATTTGTTGTTCTTGTTTTGTATTTTTCATATCTGTGTTTGTGTTTGCATTTGTGTTTTAGGTTTGGGCCGTTGACCTCGGTTAGATCGAGTGTGACTTTATTATCCTGTTGAGATCGTACACTCGGGCATTACACCGTGGGACCGTTTCTTTTCCTTTTCTTATTCATTCTCCTTTTGGGATATTTTAGTGTCCTAGCGTTTTGTTGTGTTGCCGAGTATTACCCTGTTGGGGTCGGCTCTAGACGGTCTGTTGACCTGTCCTTTCATTTTATTCAGCTTTTGGTTGTTAGTATTCAACAGTTTCAACTGATGGTTGTTCTTTTGCACATTTGTGTGCATTTATATAATATCTCTATCATTTAAAAAAAAAAAAAACTTTCATTTGCTATTTAACTATAAATTATTTATTGGCATACCAACAAAAAAATATTTTTAATTTCAAATATATTGACTTTTTGTTGGTTTGTGGTTTATTTCATCTCTGATTCTAGATTACATAATTTTTTTTTTGGTCTATTTCTTGTTTATAAGTTATCTATCTATAATCTATAATTATTTTGAAACGTACAGAACTTATCAAACAAGTGTAATAAACACTAAAAGTGTCTAAATAATAACGATCACAAACTCGAAAATCGGGGCTAAGCTTAAGTTATGAGAAAGATTACAGTCTCGTTACGGTACCATTTTGTCAATATAGTGTAGAATATAGATAATCAACGATTAAAAATTCTTACGGAATGGTATCGTAGTTTATATATGGCCCCATCCTTTCTTGAAATTATTGGACTTAAAATTGCCCATGAAAGAAATTGAACAAATCATAAATAAGGCCCAACCATTCTTGTGAAATTGTTGGTCTTGAATTGGGTCCATCAAAGAAATTGAGTAAGTCATAAATATGGCCAAAATATGTGCGCGCTCACACTCGACGCGAGAGCCGGACCGAGTAGTTTCGAATTCGCCTTCGCCACATTTCCCCGACATATAGTACCCCGACAAAAATGGCGGGAAAGGAGCCCACCGCGGCGCCGAAGCCGACGATCGAGCAAGCCGGCGCGTGCTGGAGAAAGGTAGTTGAACAGAACCTCAAGAGGCTCCACTCGCGCTTGCTGGAGAAAGGTAGTTGAACAGAACCTCAAGAGGCTCCACTCGCTGCTGTTCGACTCGGGCGCGGCTCTGGACAAGGGTGATTTCAGTTCAGCTCAGGTTCTGTCTCTCGGCCTCATCGGCTTCCTCGACTTAGCGGGTACTGTTCTTTTAACTATATGTGAAGAAATTAGTGATGTGATTTTGTTTGCGCTTGAGCTTATGTGATCGAGAACCAAACAAGGATAGGAGTTGCCGTATTCGGTTATTTCATGGTGCAGTGTTATACTATTGAGTTCGGAGTTTATTCTATGCTTTAGTTTGTTTTAAATTGCTGTTTCTGTATGGGTTAATTGGATCCCTAGGTGTAGTGGATGAAGTGTATGCAAACGTGAACTGGATTAATGAATGAAAACTGATTCTGCACATTTTTCCCATTTAGCATAGAAGTATGGAGAAACAGGTACTTAGGAGTGATCTGATAGTTGAAAATAAAATTCTGTCACATCTCTCTTATGGATATGAAATATATTAACAGTTTCAAGTAGTACAGGTTATAATTGAGTGTGAGTTCCATGAATTGGGATGTGTGTTTTTAACCTTATTCTCATTTACCATATGAAGGGAAAATTTGGTTGATGTGTAATATTGGTATGACATGCATCGTTTTTTTTGGGTTTTTGCTCTCTCCCTCCTTCCCGGTTCCTCATTGGTGAGCTCCATTGAATTGGTATGTCATGTTAAATTATCAATGTTTAAGTTAGTATTTGCCGATAGGTTGAAGGTGAAAAGCTTGTTAGAGCGCTTTTTGGCGTAGCTAGCTGTCGCCAGCCTGCTGTGATATTCGTGGATAAAATGGATTCTCTTCTGTCTCAGGTAAAATAGGCGGTAGTTCTTTCCGTCATGTTTATCAATTATATACCTGTCTCTCGCTTTCATCCTGCTATCCTCGTTTACCCTGTTACCTCTCCTCTTTATACCGTGAAACTGAAAAAAAAAAGAAAATTTTAGTTATTATCCCTTGTATTGTTTGTAAAAAGAATACTAGCTTAGCATGTCCATCTTTTGGTTTCACAATGCACCTCTCATCATTGGTGTGCCTGTGTGTACAGAACAACTCATAGGGGACACTTGTAAATACAGAACTATCACAATTCACCTAATGCAGGCTCATTTACATATGATAATGCTGCAATACCCATATTACCGGATAGCTTTCTTTCATTTACGATTCCTCCTTTCAAAAGTGATAAATGAAATGAATAGTTCAATTTTTATTACAACTGAAGTCCGAAGGTGAAGATGAATCCAGCCGGCAATTAAACACACAATTCCTCATTGAAATGGAAGACTTTTGACAGTGGGGGCATAGCAAATTCTGTCGATAGGTGATTGTTCAACTATGGTTATTGCGAAATTTTTGTGCTAAACTTGTTGCGGCATACTTTTTTATGTCCACGGTTTGCACCACTTTGTTATAATCCGTGTAAAGTCAGTACAATTGCAAAAGGAGGAAATTGGTTTTTGCACATGATACCACATTGTCTGTGCAAACAAATTTGGAAATCCGAAATGTGCATTATGTTATGGATGATTGTTTGAATTTGGCTACATCTCAAAGTTTTTTCGGAACAGGTGCAACTAATAGACCTCAAGAACTTGACGAGGCCCCAAGACGACAACTCACAAAGAGACTGTACATTCCACTTCCCACTTCAGGTGCAAGTTAAAATCATCATTTTAAATATTGTATATGAAAAATCTATTTGCTTTATCGCTAGCAATTTTAACTTAAACATGCAGAAGCAAGATCCTGGATCATAATGAACCTGCTGGAGAAAAATGGATTGTTTAACCTTTCGGACGAAGATACTGATACTATTTCCAAATTAACCGAAGGTAGTTAGCTGCTTCAAAAGAATCAACAATTGGATAACTATTTTTTTTCTGCAACTTCTTTTAATTCTTCGTTTGCCTACTTATAGGGTACTCGGGTTCTGCTATGAAGAATTCGGTGAAAGATGCTTCAATGGGACCACCGAGAGAGGCTTTGAAACAGGGTATTGAAATAACTAAGCTGAAGAAAGAGGATACAAT